TAACCGCAGTTTTCGGGGACCGAGTGCTGCAGCCGCAGCCAACGAGACCCACTGACGCCAAAAAAAAGCGCCACCAAGCGTCTGAAGTCGTAGAGGGACTTTCAAACAGGTCGAGGTTCATTCGTTGCATTTTTGCGCTTGGAAGCGACTCGTTTGGCGCTCATTGCATGGATGCGGCAGCAACCCCTTCACCGTCCTAGACTTCTAGCATCCGTCTTCCACGCGGCTTTGTGGAGTAGCCCTTGTTTCTCTACCCCTGTTTGTTAGAAGTATATATTTATAATGGGATATGTCCTTGAATCCCAGTTTTTGCAAGGGAAGGCTTACTGTGCCGTCCGTTCCTGTTTCATGCAGTGTTTTAGGATGTGGTGAAAGAGCTAGTTATTGCGAGGAATCTGCCGCACCTTCTGACAGAGTTGCGCGGAGTAGTGGAGTGTGGAGTAGCTGAAACTGTAGCAGTTGCTACGAATTCGTTACTCCATGCATGCGACGTTTTAGTAAATCCGAATGGCAAGAGCTGTGTTTCAGGATGTGCTGAAAGAGCTACTTTTTGCGAGGCATGGTTATCGTGTTTACTCGATCCTGTTTAAATATCAAACCATTTTGCTTTTGCCTGCGGGCCCGGTGCGATTTTGTTTTCCCTCCTTTTCTGCATGCGGCATGTCATGTTTTCTTGGAGCCCTCTTTTGCATCTTTATCGGATGCCGCAGCGAAGCCGGCTCACGAGAGAGCTGTTGCGTTTTTGATTTGTGAGGGCCTCTAGAGGTTTGTATCTCTTTCTAAAGGGCTCTGTGGCTCCTGTAACCCGAGGTTTCCGCCCTTAGGGCTCGTGCAAGCTGGGCCCCTGAAGGGCCAGCGGATGTCGGACGGTGCTGCCTCTGACTCGGGTTCGGCCACCAGTTCTGTGGAGCTTATCAGCTCACATTTGCATCGCTTGCAGCTTGATCACAACAGCTTGCAGCATCGCTTTCTGCAGGCCATTTCACGCATTGAGGTCCTTGAGCAAGAGCAAGCCAGCCAGGCCTCCAGATTGCAGTGGCTGGAGCAGCTCGTCCAGCGAGCTCGGGCTTGCTTCTCGGGTGTGCTGTTTTCCGCTGGCGGGCCGCCTTCACTTCCTTCTGCCAATTGAGTTGGGGGTTGCAGGCGGTTGTGACAGTATGGCCTCTTCTGTCAGTTTGCATCAGGAGGGCTCTGAGGAGGAGCAATCGTCGCGGCCGGCAAACTTGGTGGCGTGCTCTCGGGCCTCTCGGGATCCTGGGTCCAACCCTCGGTCTGAAAGCCCTATGTCGGTGGTGCAGTGTGAGTCACCCCGGACAACAGCGATAGCGGCTTCCTACGGCCATGGACTGGCTACAGCAGCCCACGAGGGCGCAACTCCTGCTCACCATGATGCCTCGCTTTGGTTTCGGCTGCAAAATCTGCAGAATGCTTCGACGTCTGAACCATCATCAGATAAGCTGTTGCATTGGGACACTCGGACTCATGGCAGCTTACAGGTAGTTCGAGACGGATCTCCAGAATGCCTTGTGGATTTTTCTTCGTCTACTACAGTGGCTCAGCTTCTGGATGCAGCTTCGCGTACATGTGCAGAGGGCGGACGCTATCCCGCTTTCCTTCTTCGGGGCATGGTTATGCATCTGGAGAGCTGTGGGGAACGCCCAACTTTTTCGTCTTCCTGGGCTGACGTGTTCGAGATGCGCATGCTTCGCGCTTTGCGCCTGGTGCGTTGCGGTCGTTTTGCAAAGAACTTTCAGAAGCAGCGTCGTCGACGAGTTCGCAGAGGCTGCCGAACAGTTCGATGAGGCCTGACTGCTCATTGCCACGGCCGGTGCTCAGGATGCATGCTCGCCTCTCTAGCTAGGCAGGCTGCGGTTTTGGGGCAATGCGTTTGCCCTCCTGGAAGGTGGCAATCGCAGGGCTTTTTCAACAGAGGGTTGCGGTAGCGGTGCTCCAAGCATCATTGCGACCTTTGCGTTAGTGGTGCTCCAAGCATCATGGCGACAGCACTTTGATGCCTCGAGGGGTAAAAATTGGCGGCGATCACAGAAGCTTCTGTGGGATTTCTCTGCGGTGCACAGCGGGAGAGCTTTTGCTCATGCGTGCCAATCGAGCTTGATTGCCCTTTGTTGCGTGAGGGGTGAGAAAACTCCTTCTTTGCGATCGGCGGGCTCAAATGCACCATAGCGCGGCAATCATGTGCTCATGGTGGCGTAGACCGATGCTTCAGGCGACAGGTGTTTTATGCAGCATGCTAGATTGAGCAACTTCCAACAAAGCATATAGGCACTTCAGCTTTAGGATTGCGGCCGGTTTCGTAGGGGGGGTTTCCCCTCATGCTGCGTACCAGGCACCCTTTAGCTCTGGCACAAATGCTGGTGATTGCTTCAGCTGCCTTTTCACTTTGGTCAGCGGAATGCGGAACTGCACTTTGGCATTTTGACGCTTCACATGTCTCTGCCTCTCCTGCTGGCCAGGTGATCTGCTTCGCTTCGTGGAGCGGGGCGCCCTTTGCTAGCTGGTCTGTGGGTTGAAGTTCAATGGAGTCATCGTCCGAAGGTGTGATTGGGGCTTTCGATTCATTTATGCCATTGCAGACTGTGGCTCGTCCTTCGCATTCGGGGGCTGATCATCCTGTTCGCTTGTCAGAAGCTGCTCGACGCCCACGGGGCAATTGGATTGCACCGAACCCTCTGTCTCAGCCGGCAGTTAGACCTCGACGCTCAGCACCCTACTTTAGGGAGGCTCCTGCTCCTATTCCTGCCCCTCGCAGAGCTGCAGATTATTTCAGGCATGCACCAGTTAGGCATCAGGCTCCGATTGGACCTGTCGTGGACTCAGCTGGGATGGCACCTGCTGGTTCTACTCGCAGGCCCCTCAACGCACAGTTCCATTCGGTTGGTGGGGTTAGCCCTCGGGGTACTGAGGGCTTCAAATCATCTGCGATGTTGCACGCTGAAGTCTGGCAGAGATGCTTGAAGTTGTGGGCCCTGATTCAACCATGGTTACAGACGATTTCTTCAGTGCTGCAGGAGCTCGAGGAATCTCGTTACGCTTCCACCCTGTTGCAGAATCTGCTGAAGTCGGTTTCGGAAAACACTTTGGTTCGATATTTGGCTCATCTGCTGAAGTTCGTGGGAACATTACAGGATTTAAATGTGCGCTGGGAGTCCATTCGACAGCTTGAGGTGGTCGATGCTCTTCTGTCTATTATGGTTTGAAGGCGGTTCGCTGGGCCGCCAAGACGTTTGGGCTTGCCCTGCCAGATCTCTATGGAGGTCTCTTGGTTGGAGTGGAGGCTCGCATTACTTCCGACAGAAAGGAGGCTCTTCCGCTTCCGATTTATGTTTTGGCTTACTGTGAGCGTGCCCTTCTACTGGAGTCGGGTTCAGTGGGGTTCAGATTATTTTTGGGCGCAATTCTCATTTCGGCATCGGCCAGCCTTCGCTTCTCTGATGCGCAACACATTTTATGGACATCGATTCAAGCTGCCCAAGACAATGTGAGGGCCATTTCCTATCGAACAAAGTCCTCCCGGCGGGGGATGCCATTCGGCTTCGTTTCTTGTGGCTACTACGGCGACTCAGGGTCCTACTATCATAGTTGGGTGTGCAAATACCTTTTTCTGTTGGGTTCCGAATGGGATTCAATTGTTTCGCGCTTTGGGGAGACAGTTCCGGACGCTTTATTCTTCATCTCCAGCTCCACAGAATGGCAACCCATGAGCTACGCGCAAGCTTTATCGGCATTCAGGGGGATTTTGGTGTTGGCTGGCATGAGTCCCACGGAGGCCGCCTCATACACTCTACATTCCCTGAAGACTTGTCTATTGGCTGCGTTGGCACAACTGCAAGTGTCTTTTCGCAAACGAGGCCTTCAAGGTCATCACAGAACCGGACAGAATGGCTGCGTTCTTCTTTATAGCAGGGATGATGTACATGGAGCACTTTCCCTTCAACAGCTCTTTTGGGATCGGGTCCGTAGCAATTGGTTGCCGCTGAACCCGCAGGCTCGCGGCGGTCAGCAACCAGCTGAGCAACAAGCCATTGAACCGAAGGTCTTGTCCTACTCTTCGTCTCCTGCTCATCATCGCTTCCCGGTGGAGGCTGGCTCATCGGCATCTTCAGTGCATACCCCGGCTCAGGAGCAAGCGCAGGCACATCCTCAGCCCGAGGCACAGCAGGAATCATCTGACTCGGACATTGATTCTTCATCATCTTCTTCGTCGTCGGATTCGGGCAAGAAGACGGGTTCCTTAGTGACGGCAGGCAATAGACTCTCGGAATGTGATGAGCAGATTTGGGTTCAGACATCGTCTGGCATCATTCATGCTGCTACTCCATGCTCCGGTTGTGATGGGGTTTTGGTGAAGCGCGAGGACGGTGAGCTTGTTCGGGTCAAGCCGCGATGTGGCACTTTGGCGCATAACATGAATATCAGACCTGAGCTTCCGTCGAACCCCAGATTTTGCCGACATAAAGCATGTCAGGCAATTTTTGTGTCATAGGTTGGTGGCTGGAGCGGCTTCAGTCGGCTAGCATCTTCTTTTGCGCACTGCACTGTCGGGTATGGCGATCCTCGCATGCGTCGGCAAGCGCGCCGGGCATCGAGGGGACTGTTTCTGCGCAAGGGCGATCGGTACACATCCGGGACTGAAGAATGCACACTTGGCGTCAATTTTGGATGTCAGAAAAGGCGCTGGAGAAACATGAATGTGCAGTACGTTCAAGTGTTGTTGCGGCAAATGATTCCACAGCGTGCGGCAATTTTTTTTGGAGCTATTGTCCTGTGATCGAAATTCACTTCGGGGTATACCCGGGTGGCTTAGGGTATCTTGGACAAACAGTCAGGGTGCTTCGGCTGCCTTGCGGTCCCAGCTGTATTGCGGCCGGTGAGGTCGAGGGTGAGTTTGCTTCTTATGATCTCGTGTGGCGTGCCGGCTCCGGCACCAGATTTTATGCAGGTTAGTAGCTGGCCTCTTCGAGTGCCATTGTGCTAGGGTGATGACGGATGGCGAACCCGAAGCTCTGCCCGCGCTGCTGAACGAAGCTTTGGTGGCCTTGGCAGATCAGTGCAAAGTCCCGCCTGATTATCATGGGATTCTCGCGGGATTTGATGTCAGCCTTTTCGGCTGCATTGCAGCTGATTCCTCAGCTTTGGATGAGGCGCTCAAGGATCTACTCGAGGGCGCCGTGGAACCGCCCTCCACTGCTCAGCGCCTGCTTCTGCTTTCTTCGCTACGTTTGCTTTACGAGACTTGCCGTCAGCAGTCGTCAGCATCCCGCCAGGGCAAGCGCCAAGAGGAGAACGACATCACTTCGGGGTTGTCTACCTCTAGCTGGTCCGAACAGTTTCCCCCCAAGCTTTCAGGCGAGCGTGTGATGTCTCTTCAGAAACAGTTTCACGCCCGCTACCCGGGGGAGATCTTAGATCCCGACAATTATCCGTCGGCCAGGTTGCTAGCCTACGTGGCTAAGGTCATTCAAAAAGGAGAGCTGCGGTGGATCCCGTGGAAACTCAGGATGAGCCAGGCCCAACAAGACTCCCTGGCTTTGCGGCGCCCAGCTAAGGTGCCTCGGTTAGAAGAGCTGATATACGACGACGTACCCCAGCGTGAGATACCAGCTGGAGCAGTTGGCGCGAACTATCTCTCGGGCATCTTGGGCTTGGTTTCAGTGGCTGTAGCGATGCTTCAGGGCGCGCACCTTGCTAGCCTTCGCAAGTTTGAGCGCAAGTTCATCAAACTGGCGACGCAAAAATGTGAGGCGGGCATTCGCAATCCGTTTGCTGAGGAAATCATGCAGGCAGATCGTCAGCCATGGTGCCAGATGGCCGATCTGGTCAATCTTCATGGCTGGTCCTTGGATGATGCTCTGACAGAGTACACGGAGATCAGGGGGGACATGGCTTCGTTACTGCAGTCCCGGGTGGCGGTGCCCAAAAAGTTTGATATCCCACCTGGTCTTCGAAGGCTTCCTGGGGGCAAAGGCAAGCAGAAGGGCGGCGGCAAAGGTCGAGGTGCGAACGGGGGTCAGTCTGGTCAAACTGGTGCCAAATGGATCACAAAGTTTGAGGACAAGGGTAAGACTCGTCTGCTATGCCGGGACTACTCTTCGGCCAAGGGCTGTTCCTTCACGGATTGCAAATTCGAGCATTTGTGTCCGGTACCGCGCCCTGACGGCAGACCTTGCTTGGGCAAGCACCCGGCGCATCAGCATAAGGCAATGCCTCACTGACTCTCGGATGATTCCTCGGATGTCAGGACAGGCAGGGATCTCTTTTGACGGGGCTCGACCACATTGTTCGGAGCCTTGGACTGGGGACCGGTGGGTCCTGACAGCATATACTTCGGCCCAACTGCCGGGTGTATCGGCTAGTGAGATGCAGCAGCTGCGGGATTTGCACTTTCCGCTGCCAGATTCTTCTTGTCAAACGGCTGCTTCAGCATTGTCTGGGGCAGGGATTCTTCCGGCTCCACCTTCGGTTCTTGACCTTTCCAAGGTGCGCGGGAACCTTTTCCTGGACTTGTTTGCGGGTCATGCTCGGCCACTATCGTCTGCCTTCTTGCAAGCTGGGGTTTCTGTTCTTTCGGTGGATACAATGTTGGCTTCGGAGCACGATCTTCTGGATGATTCGGTTTTTGAACCTCTTTTGCGATTGAGCTTTTCGGGAGCTGTGACCTCGGCTCATGCGTCACCACCATGCCGGGAGTATTCCAGGTGCAAGCTTATCCGGCCTGGTCCGAAGCCTTTGCGCACCCCAGAACATTTGGCAGGGGTCCCAGGTCTTTCTTCTTCGGAACAAGAGCGGGTGGACGCCAGCCGGACTTTGATGGAGCGGGCCGTCGAGCTTCTGCACGCCACCTACAAGGCTGGTGGGCATTTTAGCCTTGAAAATCCAGCAAACAGCATGCTTTGGCTGGAAGAAGCGGTCCGCATTCTGCTTCAGAAGGCCAATGCCGATGTGCTTGTGGTAGCGGCTTGCGCTTACGGTTGGGATATCTCGAAACGCTGGGCTTTCGCTACCTCTTTTCGGGATATGCAGCGATTGGCCAAGGATTGTTCACATGCTGAGGGCTCTCATCGTCCTGTTGCTGGGGTTCGGGATGAGTCCGGAGGTTATGCCTCTCAACAGACATCTGAGTTCCCCGCGAAGCTCGCGGAGGCGTATGTATCGGCCGCTCTCCCACTGTTTTCGACATGCGAAAATCCTTTGGATGTCCAGCTGTCTCAGCTATATCAGCTAATCCCTGCTAAAGGTCGCTTCGACATGCCTTTCGCTCATCAAGATGGGGCTGGCATCTACTCAGTCCCCGACTGGTCTTTCCCCCCTAATGGGACTGTTGACAGACTTCAGCAGGTCAGGCATGCTCTGACACAGAAGCTTTTTGAGTTGAAGGCCCCGATTCGCTTGCGCGAACATGTCCAGGCCAAGTCGGATTCTCCATTGTTCTCCGAGGGAGAGATTGAAAGCTTTCGGGCCATCTTTTCAGAGTTCTTGGTGGCCACGACGGGCCGTCCGGTGGACTGGTCTGTTCAACCTTTTCAGCCGTATACTCTCAAGGCACTTCAGCAACTGTCAGAGGCCTTGGAAGATCCCGACGACACTCTGTTCGCTTGCCTCCAATCAGGCGCTCCTACTGGTTACTTCAAGGACATCCCGAGAAGCGGGGTTTTTGTTCCTGCGCCGGAGGCGACAACTTCGGAGGAGCAACCTTTGCTGGAGTGCCAAGAGAATTGGAAAGGAGCTCGCGAGAATCCAGAAACTCTGGAATCCTTGATACAAGAAGAACTGGATAACGGCTACTTGGAGGAGGTAACTCTTGAGGAGGCTCGCTCCAGGTGGCCAGAGGTTGCCGTTGGGAAACTCAACGTCGTGATCGTGCCGGACAAAAACCCTCGCTTGACGGTTGATGAGACATTTTCTGGCGTGAACCCGGCTTGCCACATTCCGGAACGTTACAACTTGCCGGGCCTGGGCGACTTGCAATCCAGCTATCCTCTTCGAGGGCAGGTATCCGAGCTTCGCTCTTTCAGTTTAGATATTAAGGCTGCGCACAAGTCCATTCTCATGCAGGAGCGGGACCGTGGTTTATCTGGAATCACATGCAACGGCAAGACCTATTTCTATAGGGTCATGCCTTTCGGCATGAGCTGCTCAGCCTACTGGTGGCAGCGTCTTTCTGGTTTCTTTATGCGAACATGGCATCTTCTGGTGTTCCTGGCTCACTTCATGTCCATGTACGTGGACGACTTGATATTAGCCATGGCCTCCGGTGCCTTGGACATCTCAGCTTGTCTGCTTCTGGCCTTTGCAGCAGCTTTCGGTATCAGGTTGTCTTGGCCTAAATTACAACTGGGTTCGGAATGTCTTTGGATAGGCTGGCAGTTATCTTATCGGGCTGGGACAGTTCGGGTTCCGCAGTCTAAACGGGAGAAATTACGCGGCCTTCTGAATCCCCTGCTGGTGGCGGGCCGAGTGGAGCTGAAGCTGATCCAACAAGCTTTGGGCCTTCTTCAATGGATCACGCAACTTCACAAGGAGCTTCGTCCTTGGCTTTCTTCTTTGTACGATGACATTTCGAGGCCGCCGGGGACGTCCTTTTCCATTGAGCCATCTCGGTGGGGATCGTTGGCTCCTTGCTTGTCAGATGCGATGGTTTTCATCTCCACTCCAGCTGGCGCGGCTATCCCCGTGGGCTCTAAGCTGCTGAGTGCTCGGCACATCGAACTGTGGAAGAAATCGGATTTGGCCAAAGTTCCGCTCACCTCCAAGCGGGTATGGATGAGGATTGCGGATCCTCAATCTCGCTTTCGGCGCCTATCTGTGCTGAGCAGGCGCCTTTTGCAATTCTGGTTTGATTGGTGCGGTTCACATCAATTTCACGAATGTCTGATGCTTCCTCAGCGCTCTCTTGATGCTACCATGGCTGCTGACGCTTGTGCTCAGGGTACTTCGATCGGCATTGGCGGCTTCATCACGTTGCCGGGCTCGGATTCCTTGTGGTTCTCCGAGCGCTACGATCTGGCCGACTTTAAGTACTTGGAACTTCCGCTGCATTCTGAATCGCAGAAGGACATCTCATGCTGGGAAACATTGGCTCAAGTGGGCCTCATGCTTCTCTTTGGGCACCTGTGCCCAGGCGGGCGTATGAGAATTTGCGTACCATCGTTCTGCGACAATTCTGGTGCGGAATCTATATGTGCGAAGCTTCTGACGACGAAGTCGCCTCTTTGTTTCTTTACCCAACTGGTCGCGATGATAAGCACTCGCATGGGGATCAGTCTGGATGTGCAACACATCGCGGGTGAACGTAACACTGACGCTGATTTCCTGTCCAGGTGGGATGGTGTCAGCCCTTTGCCTTCACCATGGAATCCAGACTTCAGATACCGCTTCACAGTCGCGGATTTCTTCGATCTACGTCATGATGTGCGGCTTTTCCCAGCCGATGCCAAGCTGCTTTGGAAGCTGCCGCGATGAGCTCGTATCAGAGCGCCTGAACGATTTCTGAAATCTGAATGCTTGCACCCTCTTTTCCATAGGTGTTCGTCTCACTTAATTGTGGGGCGTGCATGGCGATTCCTCCACCTATGTTTCTGTGCTGTGGCAGTTGCTGTTTGGGCCTTGACTAAACCGAGATTCCAGATGCTTTCAGATCTTACATCTGCGATTTCCGCCACTGCACAAAACATAGGGCGAGTGGAGCGAGTTCGGTGTGTGATGTATTTTATATTGGATTGGAATCACATTTGATTACACTTTGATACATATGCGTTTCGAGATTGTTTTTCATATATACCGATTTCCTGTGTGCACGCTACTGGAACTTTTGTGCTATGCTTTTGGGGGGAATGCAAAATGCGTTTCGTATTTGAACGGTTATCGTGTTTACTCGATCCTGTTTAAATATCAAACCATTTTGCTTTTGCCTGCGGGCCCGGTGCGATTTTGTTTTCCCTCCTTTTCTGCATGCGGCATGTCATGTTTTCTTGGAGCCCTCTTTTGCATCTTTATCGGATGCCGCAGCGAAGCCGGCTCACGAGAGAGCTGTTGCGTTTTTGATTTGCCCACCCTCCACTCCCTATTTTGGGAGCCGGCTCTCAATATGCATCTTGCAGCTGCGTTTGCGTCTAGGTACAGCTAATCTTATGTCTTCCGCGGACACACGTCGTTGCGGTCGATTCTGGACGAATGTCTCTGGACCATTCGCTGGCTTTTTTCCTCGGGGACAAAGTCCCTCCAGGAGGTTTCCTGGTTTATCTGGGTCCCAATGGGGCCTTGACTAAACCGAGATTCCAGATGCTTTCAGATCTTACATCTGCGATTTCCGCCACTGCACAAAACATAGGGCGAGTGGAGCGAGTTCGGTGTGTGATGTATTTTATATTGGATTGGAATCACATTTGATTACACTTTGATACATATGCGTTTCGAGATTGTTTTTCATATATACCGATTTCCTGTGTGCACGCTACTGGAACTTTTGTGCTATGCTTTTGGGGGGAATGCAAAATGCGTTTCGTATTTGAACTTGCCGTACCTTCTGACAGAGTCGCGCAGAGTAGTGCAGCTGAAACTGTAGCAGTTGCTGTGAATTCGTTGCTCCATGCGACGTTTTAGTAAATCAGACTAGACAGAGCTGGTACAGGTTGAAGCCAGTCAAAACGTTTCAGCGGCCCAGCAGAGTCGCGCGGAGTAGTGGGGTGGAGTAGCTGAAACTGTAGCAGTTGCTATGAATTCGTTACTCCATGCGACGTTTTAGTAAATCAGATTAGTCAGAGCTGGTTTAGGTTGAAGCAAGTCAAAACGTCTCAGCGGCCCAGCAGAGTCGCGCGGAGTAGCGGGGTACTGAGTAGCTGAAACTGTAGCAGCAGTTGCTACGAATTCGTGACTCCATGCGACGTTTTAGTAAATTAGATTAGTCAGAGCTGGTTTGTTTAGGACAACAGCAACCCGCGTGTTTTGGTTTAAACCGCACGTTTGATGTTGTGTGTTGGGTTTAGCGTTTTTTGCGGATGGGGAATTGTAGGCTGCAGGCAAACTCATGTGGGAGCCTCTCGAATATCCTGGACCTTGTCTCGACCTTCATTTTGACAGATTTGACGGGCTTATGTTCGAGGCCGAAAAGCCCTTCGAAAACGTGTGCGCCACAGGGGCCTCCCCAGTTGCGGGAGTATCTTTTTCTACATTTGTTCGATTTCATAGCTAAGCCACAGAATATTGTTGCTGTCGTTGTCCATGAATCTGCAGCAGCTCAATAAGCTGTGCTGTTGGATGGAGTGGCTGCGTAAGCAAAAAGAGAAACGGTGATCACTTTTTTTGGAGTTGAGAATTCAAAAAAAGAGTGAGGAGCGGGCTCAAAAACTGGCCCGGAATTCGGACCCGTTTTTAGTGCCTCTGAGTATTGGCACACTTCCCGAGGGCTCAAAAAACGGTCGCATTTTTGGGCCTGCATTTTGGTGCCGGCGAACCACTTTCGGGCTCATTTTTGAAATCGCACAATCTGGACGCGGAGCAACCATTTCTTCAGCAAGATGCAGCCGGATAGCTCCAAAGTGGAGCCAGTTAATGCTTGTCTTGAACACGTATTCGTTTCAAACAATCAAGCTGAAACTTGCTGCATTCTTACCAAGCGCAGCGCCAACAGTTGCGGGGGTATCTTTTTCTACATTTGTTCGATTTCATAGCTTAAGCCACAGAATATTGTTGCTGTCGTTGTCCATGAATCTGCAGCAGCTCAATAAGCTGTGCTGTTGGATGGAGTGGCTGCGTAAGCAAAAAGAGAAACGGTGATCACTTTTTTTGGAGTTGAGAATTCAAAAAAAGAGTGAGGAGCGGGCTCAAAAATTGGCCCGGAATTAGGACCCGGTTTTAGTGCCTCTGAGTATTCGCACACTTCCCGAAGGCTCAAAAAACGGTCGCATTTTTGGGCCTGCATTTTGGTGCCGGCGAACCACTTTCGAGCTCATTTTTGAAATCACACAATCTGGACGCGGAGCGACCATTTCTTCAGCAAGATGCAGCCGGATAGCTCCAAAGTGGAGCCAGTTAATGCTTGTCTTGAACACGTATTCGTTTCAAACAATCAAGCTGAAACTTGCTGCATTCTTACCAAGCGCAGCGCCAACAGTTGCGGGGGTATCTTTTTCTACATTTGTTCGATTTCATAGCTTAAGCCACAGAATATTGTTGCTGTCGTTGTCCATGAATCTGCAGCAGCTCAATAAGCTGTGCTGTTGGATGGAGTGGCTGCGTAAGCAAAAAGAGAAACGGTGATCACTTTTTTTGGAGTTGAGAATTCAAAAAAAGAGTGAGGAGCGGGCTCAAAAATTGGCCCGGAATTAGGACCCGGTTTTAGTGCCTCTGAGTATTCGCACACTTCCCGAAGGCTCAAAAAACGGTCGCAGTTTTGGGCCTGCATTTTGGTGCCGGCGAACCACTTTCGAGCTCATTTTTGAAATCGCACAATCTGGACGCGGAGCGACCATTTCTTCAGCAAGATGCAGCCGGATAGCTCCAAAGTGGAGCCAGTTAATGCTTGTCTTGAACACGTATTCGTTTCAAACAATCAAGCTGAAACTTGCTGCATTCTTACCAAGCGCAGCGCCAACAGTACCACATGCCAGCTGAGGTCAAGTCGTTTCACCCGGTGTTCACACAGGCATACCAACATGCAGGGTGGCTTCATTCATTCTTGTGCACTTTTGTCGGGCCAAACTCTTGATGAATTGCTCCATGGACACTCGTTTGCCGGAAAAATCGTCCCGTGCGGATGCTTGGCGTTTGCTCATGCCTGCACAAAGCAGGCCAAGCGTGCAATATGGATCAGGGTGTGCACTCAGGCAGGCTCGTCCTATCAGAAGATCTTCCACTGAGCCGATTGCTCTTGGATGCAGTGAAAGGCGATCGTGGCTTCGAGGTAGCCTGATCTTGGAGAGCGATTTTCACTCTGGGACCACGTTTGCAGCTACGAAACAGTTTTCGCAGAAGTGGGATGCAGTGAGCTGCGTCTTGAGGTTGCCTCAAGTTTGCAAATTCTCGAAGGCCCAGAACTGTAACGTAGCTTTAGCTTCTTCAAAGCTTTGGCTTTCCTTTTCAAAGCTGCGCGGCCTTGAGCCAAACATATTGCGCGGCTTCTCAGACTCACATGTGCTGCTATAGCACACGTCCAAAACAAACCTGCTCCAAAACGCATGTGAAAGCTGCAATGGCAGCTTGAATCACTGCTAGAAGCCTTCATTAGCTTCGCTTCGGGTGACACAACATGTCCTGGCATGTGAGAAGAGGAAGCTCCTTGGTGCAGTGCAGAGTTTTCTTCGCATGTGGTCAACAGCATTGCTGCAATGGTTGTTGGTTTTACAAGGACATCTGATATTTGGGAGCGTCAGCTGTGATGACAAGATGATATTCACATCGAAAGGGGGGTGAAAAAAAGGATGCAAGTCTGAGCTGGCATTGTCAGTGGGAGCGACATGTAAATCATCCTGTCGAGTGCAGTTGCAGCTTGTGGTGCTGGAGAAGTTTTCTGCGATGCCTGGAATTTGGATGCATTGAGCTGCGTCTTGAGGTTGCCTTAAGTTTTCGGAAGTTCTCGAAGGCTTTTCGGCCGTTCTCGGACATCAGATGCAGCTGGAGTGATTGTGAGCTTGTTTTGAACAGTTGCACCTCGGGCCTTCAGCCAGCTGAACTGTCGGGTGACGTCGACGGGCTGGCAAGTTTCGAAAGTCTTGGGCACGGAAGAACCCATGCCTTCGGGAACTTAGGCTGCTGTGCGGGGCAGTTAAGTTTTACCTTAAGCTTTGCGGTTGTCCGTGGCAAAGCCAAAGGGAGGGATCCCAAAACCTGCAAAGGGAAGATAGAAGTAGCAGTCTACCTAAGATCCCAGCTGGAGCTGATGCTATTCTGTGGTACTCGGTGATTGCTGCCGTGCTTTGTTTTGCTCCGGAACATGCCTGGTGCGGCATCCCCTATTAGAGTGGGTTTTTACTTGGGGAATGCATGGATCGGCCTGCGGACTCCCTTTAGCTGACCTTGGTGGCACAATCTTGCACTGCCAGGAGGCTGGAGCGTCCTCGTTCGAGCGGACCTGGTTCACGGTCGCCGATATGGTGGGTTCTGGCGCTATCCATGGGGACGGCACTTGATGGAGGCTTTTATGCAGCCATTACGCTCTCCATGCAATGCGGAGAGCAAGTCGACCATTTGGATTTGCTGGATGCGGCCATTGCGCTCTCCATGGTTTACGAAGGGCAGAACCATCTGAGAGGAGCCATTCTATGAGGTCTAATGCATTTTGCAAGATCAGTGCGGGACCGTAGCTCACGACCTGCCGGCAATGCCTGCACGTCGCAGCTTGTTTCACTGCTTTTGGCCAGTTTACTTCGCTTGCTTAATTTCTTGTGGGGATCGACAGCTGTTTATGAGGCCCCCGCACGCCAAAAAATGCGTGGTGCAAAGAAACGGAGATAACACTTCGAACGCTAAATACCAACAGCCAATCGCGAATCTGCATGTCTCAGACCACTGCCGTCCAACTCCAAACCTGCATCATCAACGGCAATGGCTTCGCCACGATCGCCTTCCGACAAGTTTACAGCACAGCAGCATAGGCCGGGAACAGCAATAGGCACAACAGGACCAGGCCCACGCCTGCCCACACCGCGCACTGGTCTGCATGTTATCTTGTCTAAACTGACTCCAAGCTTCTGCACAAGAGGACCAGCGCCCACGCCTGCCACACCCCACGCTGGTCTGCATGTTTTCCCTCTTATCTGGACTTACTCCCGGCCTCAGTGCTACTGAACTTGTGCCAGTGCGCGAAATATAGAAAGCTATGTCTGTCAGTCACTGTGAGTGTGGCCTGCATGTGTGCGCATGAGTTGCGCCGTGCTGTGAAGCATGCAGAAAACTGCGAGCTAGCAAACCCGGAGAAGGCGAAGCGGGGAAGTCGATTGATGCAGGCGGACCTGCAACGGCCGAAAGCAGCAAACTTTAGCGTTGCTGTAGCTGAGGCAGCGCGGCAACTCAGTTTCACAGCTGCATCCGAGTTGCTTCAGAGAAGCTTTGAACGCATCTGGCAGTGACCGTTCTGAATGAAAGCGGCTGCTTTGCAGCTTCCTCGGCTTTGACTTAAGGCCAACTGCAAGCTGCCGGAGTAGAGATTCGTTTCTGGTGGGAAGAAATGTTGTTCTGGAGGGTCTTTGTTTGTGGCGGGAGAACCGTTGCCGAATCGCATTCCGAAAGTTTGGGCAGGATCGCGAAAATCAGGGTTCGCAGGTTCCATGGTGTTTTCACCAGCTCGGACATCAAATCCACGTTCAAGGGCTTCGCAAGGTTTCTGTGAAATTTTTGCTTGTAAAGCGAAAACGTTTTTCGCAGCATGTGCATCAAAAGCCAGAATGCTTGTGACTGTTGCAGTTCGCGTAAGTTTGCAATCCCGAAATGGCAACTGTCACGTGGTTTCGCTGTGGAAAGCATTAACGTTTCATGTTGGTTTATGCATTCTGACTGAGTCTGATGGAACAAGAAGGAGAGTGAACGTCAATGAGTTCGTCTTCTTGCTTTTCGTGCAACGCGTCTATGGCTGGTTGTGTGTTTGGGTGCAAGAACCTCTTATAGGTTTTATGATCCTTGAATTGAAAACCAATGAGGACCTCTACACTACAATTGACGTCGCATGTCGGGCTTTCACGTGCTTTGACTTGCTTCTTGCTGCTGGCTGGATCTGGTAGTGTTTTGCTTCAAGATGTTAGTATCCACGAAGCATCTTTGCATTTGAGAGGGAGTTCCGCACATGAGTTCGGCTGTTTGGTTATTGTGGCAGCAATGAAACAAAACGAAGATCCGGAAAGCAAAAATGATTAAGAGTCAACCGCCATGATGGGTCTTGACTATTCATCATGATGGTTTATGGAACCTTGTGCAGTTTCTGATTCGGATTTTCCATGCACATCTGAAGTCTGGAAGTTTCACGTGCAAGCGCATACGTTACAGGTCGGGCTACAGTTTTTGTTTTGGGCATCCGTGAGAGCAGGGATGTCCCGCGCAAGATGTTCGCAAGCATGAACCCTTCACGAAACCGGCAGCCATTTTCCGCACCAGCAACGAAGCCCCAGCACGGCTTCAGAAGAGATCTTGTCGCTCGGATTGGGCACAAGTTCTCTGATCGGCCATGCTCGCCACCACTCGCATCCTGATGGCGGTGCTTTCAGGTTGCATAAGTTTCAAGTTGACCGCAGAGAACGTCGTGGATACCGGACGTGTCGTGGATAAGGAAGAACCCTTGAAGTTCCTGCTTTTGAAGGTTGCACAGCTTGAGACCCTGGCTGAAGTGCAACAAGCTGCCATTGCCTCCTTGACGGACAGGGTTCAGGGGATGGAGGTCGAGTCCCTGAAAAGGAAGGGCAAAGAGGCCTCGAAGCTTCAGGCAGAGTCCAAGGAAGCCCAGGCACGGGTGGAAGAGGCCACGAGCATCATTAAGAAAGTCTGGCACAAGCACGAGCACCAGCGCCGAACCGGAACCCCGTCAACGTGAGTGGCGATGATAGCATGTGCGTTTTTCGATTGCAAGTTGACACATTCCACCCCGCTACAGCCCCGCAGCTCAGGAGAGTTTCACACCGGGCCCGGCGATGACAGCTTGGAGCGCAGAGGGATCCTGAATGCGACGACATCACTCGCAATTGAGGGGCGTGATGCCTCGACAGATGTTCGCAAGGCCGGGTGCGAGAGTTGTCCTGCGTGTAATGTCGGCGTCTCCTGAGATTTGAGAAGGGGTCTTAAAGCTTCAGACGGTGCAGCTCCAACTCCAACTCTTGTTAGACTGGTCCGAGGGGGTGTCGGCACTGGGAGCCGCGATGGTCCCATCTGCATAGCGATGGCATCTTGGGAGCCTCGGTTGAGGGTGGCTAGCTGAGGAGAACCCTGGGGTTTCAAGTTTCAGTTTTCTCACCATCAGGGGGCAGAGCCAACGGAAAGCTAGGCATTGCGTTGCTTTGGCTGGCAGGTGCAAGGGCTTCTCACTTCCCGCTTCCCGCTGAGCACCGTGGAGCAAGCCGTAGCGACCCTAAAGCAAGACCTGCGGGACATCTCCGGCTCCCAGGAAGATCTTGGACCGTCCTTCGACGTGTCGAGTGGATTTCTCCGCCTCGGCAGCGCTGGGTTGCCAAAGATTGGACCCTACAGTCCACCAGCTCTCGGCCTTCCATCGGTTGCATTGCCGAACGGATTCAAGGATGCCATGAGGCTGGGGCAGGCTCTCGAGTCTTGTGGGGATCTTTCCATTCTCAAGTGCCTCACCGACGAGGTCTTCGAACGGGTGGTCACGGGCTGTTCCGGGAAGAGTGGGGATGCCCTTACCAAGTGCCTCGGCGAAAAGATTATGGAGAAGACACCACCCTTCAGCTACTTGAACCAGATGAACGACATCATCGACGAGTTGCTGAAGGCTGGCTTTGCTTTGCACTCGGCGATTGTAGAAATGCCGTGCGCACCTGCCGTCCGATCTGCAACTAGGGTTTCTTAAGCCATCGTGTCTGTGTAGACCTTTCGCCAGGGGTTCGTGCAAGCCGCGGGTGCGGCGGCCAAGCAGGTGCTGACGAGCGGCAGCTCGCTCATCCAGGAGGCAGCCTTGTCGAAGTTCCCGGCAGTGGGCTCCCCCGCCACCGTGCACCACTCCGGCCAAAGCCTCGTCATTTCGAAACACACTCAGAAGCCCAAGCGCAATGTGGCAACTCTGCAAGTGGACGGGGATGATGGCCCAGAGCATGGCATGTCCTTCAATCTGCACGACGAGGGGAGCAACTATCAGCCCAAGCTGATCACCCAGCGACTCCACGGCACCCGAAAATGCCCCTAAGACCTCAACCGGAAGCCCTGCCAAACTCCCCGTGACGATCCGGCACCTGCAAGGTTCCACGGCTACGAAAGGGACACCAGCTCCTGTTTGGCTTTTGCCCCGAAGAGGTTGCACCCTGGCAACCCGACCGAAGCAGACTGGAAGGTGGGCAGGGGGACTGGGAAGTTTTAGGCTCTGATGCTCTAATCGTGTCTGCGACGGCAGGTGTCCAATGCGAACGACTTCAAGGAACCTGGGCTCTGCTTGCGGAGCTTATAGGTTGAGTTACCAAGATATGAAAAACCATACTTTGTTCTATAGATCCCTGTCGTGATAACCTGAGTCCACTAAAACTCCAAACCCTATTAGTAACCCTAACCCTATAGATCCTTATTACGGTTCCCGTCGCAGTCTATATAAGAAGACCCCAGGAACTTGTGCCTTGGGCGGTTCCCTGTGGCACGAATTGGATGAAGCAGAACCAGCAGGCATGGGAAGGCAAGGCTCTGAAGCTTTGGAAGCCTTGCCACGCGAGTCACGCGAGTGAGACCCAAGCCGCCCAAACCCGTGGGTTACGCATCTAGTGAATCCGGCGAGTATCCAAGGAAGCTGCCTCTGTTGTAACAGCCACCATGGGCAGACTCGTAGCTTCCACAGTGCCGTGTAGGGACATGGAGCCTTTAGCACAGAGTTCGAGAAGTCTGCTTTCATCTCAGAGTTGTGACGCCGCACAGATTGCAGTCGTGTGATCGAAGAGCATGGTCTCGGGAGGTTATTCCTTCTACACCGGGGAGCTCGCTATCGAGCAATGCTTGACAGTGACATACGGTCTCACGGTGCAGCCCGTCTTCGCCTTTGTGGGCGGCGTGCAATTGAGTGTAATGCCTGCGCCGCTGGTTTCTGTGGAGACCATGGTCTGCTGGCCGAAGCATCGTCCGGACGGTCAGGACCGTGCGCTTGTTTCGTGTTGCGGGCACGCATTTGAAGGGTCTCTCTGTTGTGAAGGGCCCAAGTAGCCGTGCCATTCATCGGGAACGTGAGAAGCGCTGTGCCCTTGAAGGACCTGAGCATGCTGCGCACGCAGATCAAGTCCAGCGGCGTGCTCCTTTTCTCCAGGACCGTGCGCCTCTCCAAGCGCTACAGGGATCCCACCGACTTCGTCAACCACGCAGGCCACTTGCACTACAGCAAGGCAGACTGGCAGAATGCAGAAAACCCTCGACAGGCCAATCCCAGGACGAACCTCGTGCAAACCGGGCAGAAGGCACAAGTTTATCAGACGCACAACGAGTCGCAGCGGTCTCACGACGACAAGGCCCAGATGAACCGGAGCGCATATGAGTTTGAGTGGGCAGAGGACGCGGACATGTACCTGGCATCCGGCAACATTTCGGCCGAGTTCGGGGTCAATTTGACCTCCGCAACTCGTACTGAGAGCAGAAGATTGACGCTTTCTAGAAGACAGGTTCAGACCCCGTGAACTGTTGTTGGCTTTTCCTGTCCTTAACCCGTAACCCTAAACCCTCAACCCTAAACCCTAAACCCTGAACCCTGAACCCTAAACCCTAAAGCCTAAACCCTAAAACAAAACCTAAACCCTAAGCCCCCCCAAAAAATAACCTAAACCCTAAACCCTAAAAAAAACCTACACCCTAAACCCTAAACCCTAAGATGCAGGAGCTGCGCGGAAGGGAGGCAAAGAAGCGCCTGAGCCTGGCTTCGATGGAAGCCCAAGGAGCATCTCGGCAGAGCCTTTTGGAGTAGTAGTAGTAGTAGCAGTAGTAGTAGTAGTAGTGGTAGTAGTGGTAGTAGTGGCAGCAGCAGCAGCAGCAGCAGGAGGAGGAGGAGGAGGAGGAGGAGGAGGAGGAGGAGTGTTAAGCATTCTGACTCAGGTACAGCCCTGCAGTGACAACAGGTCATGATGCAGGAACGCGGGCCGCAACACTAAGGCTCGAACACCCGGCGTCTACGAGGCCACGGGAAGGAAAAGTGTCCGAGTGGAGCCCATAGGCACAGTCCCAGGAAAGCTCCGTTTTCTAACATGGTAGCGGAGCACTCCGAAGGAAGTGCGATGATGCTACTGGAGCTAGGAACCACGTGCGTTGCAGCCATGGGAATTCTCCTCATGGTTTGGTTTGCAAGGAACTGCTGTTCTAGCAGGAAGTACGAGTGCGAGGCAGGAACCATCGGCCCTGTCTTCGTCACTTCCAAAGCTGGGAAGAAATACCACAGGAAGAAGTGTGAGCATCTCCTGCATGGAGGTGTACAGAGAGAAGTGGTGTCCTTTGCGCCATGCAAGGATTGCCGCGCAGGAAGCTACATGTCGTCCCGGGAACTCCCGGATGTGCGGAGCGACATGCGAGTGTGCCGCTGGACTTTCTGTCTGGTGATGGTTTTGGTTGTCATGGTCTTTGAGTTCGGTGTCTACGCAGGAAAGCAGGTAACCCTCAAGGAAGAACAAGCCTATGCCCTTGAGATGCACAAGTACAAGAACAAACCCCAGCTTGGTAGTCCAGGAAAAGAACCACATGGTGTCCCTAGCCGCGTTATCGCCTCCTACCAGGAAGAGCCCAATACGCACTACAACCCGGAACCCAAGGAACTGCAGAACAAGAAGTACTACACGATCATGGAGAACCTAGGAGAGAAGCTGCAGTACTTAGTGAAGTCCGTGGAGATTGCCCAGGAAGAGTTTGAGTCCCTGAAGTACATGTTTTTCACCAGGAGCCTTGAGTCGAGCTACGCCCCTGTGATCACAGTCAAGTTTCACTATTTTGCGCGCTTTATCATGTACGTGTTTGAAGGAAGAATTTGGAGTCAGAGCATGAAGCTGTTGGTGTTTGCAACAACAGCCCCAGGAATGACACTTTTGGTCGCGTTGTCGTTGTTGTGTCAAATGAAGCACCTTCGCCTCACAGGAAGCCGAGCAGCTAAGCGAAGGAACCGCCCTTCGCTGTGCGAGAAGAGGAAGATGCACAAGGCCGCTTTTATGTGCATCTTGCTTTACAGTAACCTAGAGATAGCAGCAGGAATGGAGCAAGCTATACAGGCACTAGCAACACAGGCAACAGCGTCAGCACAGCAAATTCAGCAGATGACTGAAGCAAGCAGACAGTCAGCAGCCAGCAGTACAGACCGAACACAAGGAATGGCAAATCTGTTCGAACGCTTGGCTGCAGCGGGAGAACAGAGAGAACAGAACTTAGTCGGAGCATTGCAAAATGTGCTCCAGCAGTCCAGATCGGAGATGGCACTTTCTCAGGAAGCAGTGAGTTCAAGAATAAAGGAAGTTTTGGTTGAGAGTCGCGAGAAAGGAGAGATCCAGCTTCATAAGCTGGTGAAGGCACGAGAAGCTTTTTCACCGAGCACGTGGCAGGAAGAACGCAGCAGTTTTGCTGAGTTCAAACACCGCTTAAGGACATGGTTGGGAGCAATCGATGATGAGATCCTGACCTTGATGGACAAAGCAGAAAAGGAACCAGCCAAGGAGCTCGAGTTTGACAAGCTCAGCGTAAAGGAAAAGACACAAAGCAAGAAGCTCTACAGCATTCTCTCGAGCTACACCAAGAACCGTCCACAACGTGTTGTTACAGCAGTCAAGGAAGAGAACGGCATTGAAGCATACCGTCAGCTTGTTAACTTCAACCAGCCCAACACGAAGGCACGTTCTCTACAACTACATCGAGAAGTCATGAGTTTTCGCTTCGACAAGGACAAAACCTACAACGAGAACTTCTTGAAGTTTGAGGAACTGATCGATGACTACGAGAAAGCCAGCAGCGAGAAAACGTCAGATTCGTTCAAGATGGGCACTGTCATTGACAGTGTTCCAGCGCAGGTACGACAACACATTCTCCTCAACATCAAGGAAGACACTACTTACAACGACCTCCGTACCTTCCTCACCACCTACGAGAACGCAAAGAGATGGACACAGCCGACCACCACTGACTTGATCAACAGTGGCAAGGACCACGGTGGACAAGCAGCCATGGATGTTTCCCAAGTCAAAGGCAACTGGAAAGGAAAAGGAAAAGGCAAAGGCAAAGACCAGTGGAAAGGCAACAAAGGCAAAGGAAAAGGAGACAAAGGAGGCTGGTCCAAAGGAGGAAGGAAAGGAAACTGGAAAGGTGGAAGAGGAAGAGGAGGAAGGTTTGGAAGAGGAGGATACAAAGGCAACGGAAAAGGCTACAACAACAAAGGAAAAGGCAAAGGAAAAGACAGCTACAGCAAAGGAGGCTCAGCACCAGGTGTGTGCAACTACTGCCAGAAGTACGGCCACTACGAAGCGCAGTGCAGGAAGAAACAAAGAGACACGGCCCAAGGAGTAAGGAACGTTCAGGAAGACGAGCAAAGTGAAGCACCAACGAGTGTCTCAGCAACACTTACCACCAGCACCAGGACTGCAGCCACTTCGTCAGCAAGCACCGCAAGCACCACCAGGACACAAGCAAAGGTACGCCAGGTCACTCTCTACCACATTGGAGAGGAACCAGAACAAGCCCACGATGGACCGCAGATCTATCCCATCGACAGTGAGGAAGAAACAAAGTATGAGATGACGTACTTCAACAACATCATGATGGTGCAGGTAGAAGTCTCTCTATGTGATGATAGTGAAGAAGAAGAAAGTCAAAGATGGAAGGAAGATCCACTGTACCAATGGTACAGTGACCGTGAAGAGCGTGTCCTCTCAGTGAGGACAGTCACTCAGGAACCTCTCACGAAGCCAAGGAACATTGAGGTGATCCTCGACTCTGGAGCAGATGTTTCCATTGCTCCAACTTGGATGCGGAAGTATGGAAAGAAAGTTCAGGTAAAGTCCGTTCAGTTGCGCGACGCACAAGGAAGAGCCATTGCCGTGCAGGAACATCGCCTCATCAACCTCGAGTTCAAGGACAAAAGAGGAAACAAAGTTCAAGTTGCAGAAGTGTTCATGATCGGGAACGTTATCAATCCTTTGTTGGCCATAGGAAAGATGATGAAGCAAGGATGGATGCCACATGATCAGTCTGGCATGTCCCTTGTTGACAGTGACAGGCACACGGAGATCCCGATCTACTTCAGGAGCAACTCTCTTGCAACCAATGCTTTTGTTCAGGCAGTGGTCGCCGTTCGTGAAGGACAACTTGTTCCAGTGATCCTTAGTGATGCACTTCAGTTTTGGAAAAGGAACAAAGGCCAGGTTGGTCTACTCCAACAGAAGGAACCATCCACCACGGCGTGAACAACTCTCATTTTGTGGATCCGACGATGACCAGGTCGTTTCACGAGAGCCTCTTCTACAGGACCACCTTCGCCAAGGAAAACAAGGACAACAGTGGACAGTGGATCCTGGTGGAGATCAACAGACCCTACCAGGAAATGGAAGATCCCTTCATGGAGCTTCCCTACGGCGATACAGAGACCATCACAATCTTCACAGCGCAACCTGAAAGTCCAGTCAGGTATTGCAAAGCAAAAGGAACAGACCACAACGTGGAACTTGAGGTCTTCACTGACGACAGCTGGGAAGTTTCAGAAACAGGTGAAGAGGTGATTCGTCACCACCGAGCACAGAGGAAGTTTCTTTTCAACCCTGCAGGAATACCTGGTTGTCCTACAGACCTCAGCAACTTCGATGGCAGCAGGGTCACCTACAGCATCAATGAAGATACAGGAAGAAGCTTTGAGAACAATCTTTCGTTCAAGGAACAACCTGCACTACAAGATCAGATGCCAATGCGACCCAGTCTTCTTTGGACTGGAGAAACAAGTTTTCGTCTACGTGAACCACTACAAGCACCCAAGAAGAAGCAGAGGACAGGAGCACAGGAAAGCATGGAGGTGGATGAAGAAGCAAAGCCCTTAGGAGAAGAAGCTCAGGAAAGAGAGGAAGCAGACAAGGAAGAAGAAGAGGAGCCAGCAGCACCAAAGGACAGAAGAGAAGTTGAAGGAAGCTTGGCCTTTGTTCACGAAGGTTGGGAGTACAGCTTGGAAACAACTTTGAAGGACCTGCGCGACTTGTGCAGGGAACTTGGTGTTTCGTCCAAAGGTACAAAGAAAGAACTTTTGTTGAGGTTGAGCAGAGCTACGCGCGCCGACTTTGTCGCCAAGAACAGAGCCTCACAGGAGAAAGCCTACAAGGAACACGTTGAGCCACAGCTACTTCCCAAGAACGAGAAGCCTACTCAGGAAGAGATCGACAAGCACAACATCACTCACTTGCCTTACAAAAGTTGGTGCCCAATTTGCGTATCGTGCAAAGGAAGAGAAAGTCCTCACAAGTCCAAGTTCCTCAGCAACAAGAACAAGGAAGATACAGGAAGCAGCAGACCAACCATCTGCATGGACTTTGCGTTCACTACCACTTCGTTGTCAAAGGAACCGGCAGCGATCACTCTCGTTGTCGTCGATGATTGGAGCAGGAACGTCATGGCGATCCCTACATCGCAGAAAGGAAGAGGCCTGATTGACTGCATGGCCGAAATGATCACAGGA